ATCCTTGCATGGTGAAGTCAGTAGGGCAGTTTATGGACTTGCAAGCCAGTTGTGGGTGCCTGGAAGGGCAGGTTTGCATGGGCGTCCGTTCACCAGTTTTTGCCCAATAACTCTGCTCCAACTCAATGTTTGATTGCAATGAGTATGCAAATCGATAGCTATTTAAAAAAGGAGCAGATTGGTACCCTTATTGTGGGGTGGGGGGCAAGCTTTGGGGGGGAGGGGGGGTGGGTGGTCATTCTGGGCCTCCAGCCCAACTTTTTGTGATGACGTCCACCATTTTTTTATTTTTACCCTCCTGCCGCAAGTACAAAAAAAAGTTGGCAATGCCTCCAGAAATATGCCCAACATCTCTGTACCCATGAAGCGTGCCATCCTGCAGTACCGCACGGGCACCCTCTACAACCAAAAACATGCAGTTCGTTTCAAAAAGTCAACTGATCCATCTTGCCCCCTCCAAGGCTGCCATCATTTGGACAGCGCACTACACATGCTCTCAGGCTGCCAAAATCATATCATCTCCAACATGAAAACTGAACGCCATAACATTGCAGGCAGAACGATGACAAAAACCCTCAGCAAATGCCCTGTAGGGGCAGGCCTAGTATACACAGACATAGGAATTGATTTTAAGCTTGCTTAACACTACCTCCAACTCTGTGCACATGCCTCAAACAGAACTTTACCTGCTGATTTCTTCCCTTGTAACCTTCCAGAGAGGAAAAGACTCGGCTCAAGTCGACCAGATGCTGTTTTGATCACCCATACTAATGCCAAACATACTTCAAACGATGTTTCTCCTACCCATTCCCATCACGCTTTGCGCAGCTCCCCACGGAGGACCACCAGAACTAGACGCACGAGGCAACCCCATTAACTTTATGCAAATGAACGTCATGTGCACCTAATAGAAATCAAGTTCTGTGAAGACACAAGGCCAGAGCATCAGTTGAACGCGGCAAATCAGCAGCATGCAGACCTTTGTAAGCTTATTAACGCTAAAGCTGTTACAATTCACCCTATTCTCCTGGGTGTTGGTGGAACTATATACACTGTGCATACCCTGAAGCAATTCAAACAACTAGGACTGGATCACCAGCGTGCCACTAAGCTTGCTCAACAATTACATGCTCATTCTGTCCAATATGCCTACAGACTAGTCTCCTCACGCCGCGCTATTGAAAACAAGAATACTTCCCACAGCTAGGTTCTAGAGCCAGTTGCTTCTAGTAGCCCTCCAGATCCCCATTAGCTTTCTTTTTTTCATACCTTGTGGTGAAGGGGGCTCACAGCTCTTTTTTGGGCCAATGTGTCTCCTTTTCCTTAATTTATGTAGGGAAGGTTTCTCTGCCTACGTGGTTTTTCTTCTCTGTTCTTTTCTTTTCTTTTCTTTTCAGCATTGATCACTCACTCCTCAGGTGTACCAACTCAACACTGTCAACTCAACACTGTCAACATTGGCAATGAGTGGGATGCGCACCAACAGACGCAATGCAGGCCTTAGTCCCCGTGTTAATGCCCTTAGTAAAGGCCGGTATGGCTCATCCCTTATTGGTATGGCTGCAGTAATGAGAGACTCCAGAAACAGGGCATGCAAATCCCTGAAAACATAACACGTACCATTCCTGATTCGGTATTCTCTAATGGAACTTGCTCTTCAGCCCGCCACCAAAATTGCCCAGATGCTATCTTTGTGTGCTCTATCCCAGACCGACCTGTCAACCATGATCCCTCTAAGACCCCCTGATCGTGACAGGGACATCCACCAGGTTGAATTAAAATTCTGTCCCGACACCAACCCCTCCAATATTTTGGAACGTGCAGCAGCTCAACACGCCCACACTGTAACCAAACTTAAATCACGCAGCTCAAAAAGTCCAAACACGAATACCAAAGTGATTCTACATTTCATCTTAATTGGCATGTCTGACACTATTTGCAATGAATACACAATCAAATCTCTTATGAATCTAGGCCTTACCAAGCAAAAGGCTTAATCACTAGCAAATGAGCTTAGCTGCCATGCCATCTAAAAATTGACATCCATCATTGACGCCAGACATGCTCTTCATTTTCAGGGGACTTTGGGGGGGATTCTGCTAGGCATGCGGCGGAGGAGAGAAGGAGAAGGACCATCCGGGCGTCCAGGAGCATGGCGGACAACTCCCCAGACCCTCATTAGCTCTGTTTCTGGCTCTCTCCTAGGCTAGCTGTGTCTTGTGTAGGCTCTGAGGGTCTTCTGGTGAGGCCACTGCTTCCTTGCTAGCTTGCTAGCTTGTTAGTTAGGGGACCCTCCCTTTACGCATGCGGCCTCTGGCCTGCGTAGACTTTCCTTTTTCTTTTTCTTTAGCTCTATTCCTTGGAGTTGGAAATGCCAAACAGTGCTCAACAAAACATTCCACATTGGCTGTTTCCATCCGGACAGCCAAATTGTGAAACAAGTCAGTTGCCCTGATGGCATTTTAGTCCTACCCCTTGAAGGCAGAGACTCCACCCAATTTTCACATCCACAAATTGTGAACCCCAGAGACAGAGCAATCCACCTCATTAAACTAAATGTCTGAAAAATATGACAAGACAGTACAACTGAAATTCACTATCATGCTGTTAAGACCTTAACAAAAGTCAATAGCACCAAACACACTATTCAATTCAACAGCCCTAGCAATGGAGGTTTGGGGGAGGAGGCTTCAGGACGGACTGCTTACAGGAGAGCTATTGGACGGATGGTTCATGACGTGCCAGACCCACATTAGTTTTGGCTGCCCATTGCCTGCTCCCTTTGGTGGGACTCACTGTCAGTGCCAGTGCTGACGGTTGGGTCTTTCCTTAATGCACGCTAGTTGTGGCCAGCGCAAACTTGTCCATTGTTTCTCCTTCCTGCTCACATCATGCTTTACACAGCATTCACAGCACCACACAGAGGACTAGCACAGCTAACCGCGTGAAACAACCTCTTCAATTGGATGCAAACCAATGCCATGTGCACTTAATTGAAATCAAGTACTGTGAAGTCACAAGGCCTCGACATCAACTGGATATAGCAAAGCAGCAGCATGCATAAAGCTGCAATAGTGCAAAAGGTGTCTCAATTCACCCTGTTCTCCTGGGAGTTGGTGGAACGTGCTTTCTCAAGCATTTCCTCAATCGATTCAAAAACCTAGGTCTCGACCACAAACTAAGCTTGCTCACAAGCTCCATGCCCATTCAGTTCAGTATGCCCGAAAACACGCTATTAAAAAAAGAGTACCTCTCCAAGCCAGGGTCTCGAGCCTAGTGCTTCTAGTGACCCTCAGAAGATCCCCATTAGCCATTTTACCTAATAAATTGAGTGGCTCAAGCTGCGCGAGGACCTGCTCAGCATCGCATCCCAGCACAGCAGCGTTAGTTTGCCGTTGCACACTGACAACCAGATCACTGCTGCCATATGCGTACCATGCATGCTCACAAACCTTACGTCCACACAGCGTAGCAAGCATATTGCCCCACAGAACAGCTTTGCGCCCGAGGCTGGAGAGCGCCTGCGTCTGTGCATTACGTGGCCTCACAGCTGCAGGTAGCAGATGTGTTGACCAAGAACCTGCCAGCCGCACAATTCCAACACGCTAGGACTTCGCAGGGCCATAGGACAATGTAGGATGCACCGCGTGAGGAGGAAGACTCCTAAACTTGTGTGTGCGTCATCACGCATACCCTTCAACACACTGTGACTTGCATTCTGCTCGCTTGAGACAGCATGCACTTGAAACAATGTCTATGAACACGTGTGTGTATGCATTCAGGCTAGCGGCTGTCTAGCAGTGCTTTGCTGAAAGTGCTTTGCTGAACTTGCCGGCACTAAATATCAAAACAAAGCCGACGATGTGCGCGTGCATGCCTGCAGCAGTTTTCAGTGCGTGAAATTTCCAGTGGAAATTTTCTTGCCAGTCTGGACTCATGCGTCCATGCCATACGCGATGCCCAAAGGGCCCACCACCCCCCCTTCCCCCTCCACACACAGACATGTTTGTACTGTGTGCATGTCACAAGCTACAATGTGGTAGAGCAAAGGCACCGCTATTTGTTGTATTTTATCTTGGGGTCAGGATGAGGAAGGTGTGCATGCATGTGTGTAACCCTTGTTATACTGATGTGCAGCCAACGGAGCACAGGCTCAATGTAGATAAGAAAGAGGAAGGGAGAGAGTGTGTCTCCTATGGTGCCCCTATCTACAGGAATTCCAGAGATGTGGTCTCCAGAATAGAGTCTGACTCATGTGCTTGCTTGGCGATAAAGGTTTTTGGCTACATCAGGACTGGGGGGTTCCCAGGGCATACATGGTACGGAGCAGCTTATTATGATAGGGATTCGAAAGCGGAGGTGAGCCCACAATCAAGGCACAGATATCCTCATTGAACTCTTTCTCTGCATCTGCGTCTTCTAGAGCCTCTCTCGCACATTTTATTTTGCAGGGCTCTTGCTTGGTCCTTTCAAGGACACTGAAGATGATATTAACTTAAATTTGGTTTCAAGGGATACCTTTTAAGGCACCAACCAGACTGTTGGGTCAATCAGCCTATGGCTGGTCCACGCCAGTCAACGGTGCATTTAAAAGAAAAAGCTCAGACATGAAAAATGGGAGCTTCCTGTCATGCAATTGCAAGGAGGAGCCGAATGGTATTTCTCGTGGGCAAGGTTGTCATGCCCATTCGTTCCTGCTTTCTGTCAAACACAGTGTCATGCCAGATTTTCCTTCTTCTCTAGGCAACTTTCAATACGAGTAACACGGCTCAGCCTCGCAGCCTCTCTCAATCACAATAGTATTTGGTGCACTGACCTGGTCATGACAAGTGCTGCACCGAATCTGACAGTCGCTCCCCACCTGACAGGGTTGAGACTCTACCAGCTGTGCTGTCAGGGTTTGGGATCAGGGCCATCAGGGGAGTGACGTTGAAGGAGATAATGACAATTTCTGAGGTGTCGGTCAGAGGGGTCAAGCGCAAACACTTGCCCGCCCCAACGCCCGCCTAGCTCAGTTGGCAGAGCGCAAGGCTCTTAAACCGCAAGCAACCGAACAACGGTTGGTGCTACCTTGTGGTCCGGGGTTCGAGCCCCCGGGTGGGCGCGTTTTGAGCAGTGGACTTTTCCTGCTGGTTGAAGCTTTTTTGTGCGTGTTCATGTGCTCCCGGTTCCGACCTTTTTACTAGGCTTTGATGCTAACGTTGGATTTTGAAAACCTTACCTCCGACATTAAGAGCCACTTGTCTGTCTGTTACACACCTCTCACACGCCATATGGTCAGGATTCATGTATTAGTATTTTCCAATTGAGACAAGAGGAAGAAGGTTGTTCCCTCGGCTCGACCACTTGCCTTCGGGGCTTGTCCATGTAGCTGGGGATATCTTTTGGAAGGAAGGTCCTTGCATTACAAGGGCAGGAAGGAAGGTTCTGTCATTGCAGAGGAAGCAAATGTGTTGGAACCTACGCATTACCATGTATAGCAGAATGAATTTGGTAGTTGAACAGGCGGGTATAGCGGGTATAGCTCAGCTGGAAGAGCGCAAGGGAACCTATGCAGTACTATATGTAGCAGAATGACCTCGTTGTCAGAACATAGCGGGTATAGCTCAGCTGGGAGAGCGCAAGACTGAAGATCTTGAGGTCCTTGGTTCGATCCCGAGTGCCCGCATGCTATCTCTGTGCCATGTGCTTCATGGTTTCATTTTGCTCCTGCGCATGTGCCTGAATCTTTTGTTTGGCTTCTGTGCATATGCCTCAGTCTTTTCATTTGCTCCTGCGCGCATATGTCTGCGCAAATGCCAGCTGTCATTGCCTTGGGTAGAGTGTCCTGCAGCAAATTTGTTCACTGAATGATACCACTCATTGAAGAGTAGCGAGCACAATCAGTCTTTCAAGAAGAAATTGCAGCAGCTCAAGAGAATGATTACCTCTACCAGACGTACCACCCTGGTGCCCTGGAGCCAAGAGCTGCCGGATCCACATTAACTTYCCTCTCGTCTTCTGTTGAGGGAAACTCACGGCTCTTTGAGCCAATGTGTCTCCCTTTCCTCAATTGATGCAGGGATACCTTTCTCTGCCTGTGTCATCTTTCTCTTTCTCCTCTCTTTATTAGGCTGCATACCGGGTTTGCTATAGCCAGGTGAGAGCCGGAAACAGAGCTCCTGGGGCTCTTAATGCTTGACTGCGAGCCTCTTGAATCCTCGGACTATCCTCCCTTTCTTTGCTGCACGCTCAGCACAGCACCGCACCTCAAATGCACCCTGGTTTTTCAACGCCTGAACCATGCGCAGCTACATRCGATTGTGATTTCTCTTTGATCCTTGATTAAAGGTGGACATKTTTCCTTGTTGGCAGGAGGGAAGGCCGCCCTTTCCTGAGGGCGTCTGTGCGAGCATTCATGGATGTTAAGGAGGATGCATTGGAATTCCTTTTTCCACCTCTTTGATGCTGCTAGCACCTTGTAGTTGATAGTGGGTTCTTAGCGGAATGGCTGGAAGATTCAGGGATTGTCATGGAAGACGAACGTCAGTCACGTGCCGTTGTTTTCAGGACATCTAAGAAGAAAAGTCAAGTTTACGCAGGCCAGTGGCCACATGCATCAAGGGAAGGTCCCCTAACTAACAAACAGCATGCTAGCAGCGGCCTCACTAGAAGACCAGGGGGATGTCACAGGCCCAGCGTTCAAAAATTTTTCTGAGCCCTTCTGACCAAACCATTCCCCAAACTCTTAACACAGGCATGTTCTGTGGTTAGAAAGGCACCACTCTGCCAAAAAAAGTTGTGAAAAAATCGGCTTGGTGTGTGAGCTAGGGTGCTCCAAAAGGGGAAAAAGGGGCAATGTGGTGAAAAACGGGAACTTTCCACCCCTTTTTGTCAGATGTACCCTCAGGTGTGTAGCAGTAATAAAGCAGACACCATTGCAAAAGAAATGAGGTCAATCGGTGGTCTTGCTGGTTTAGGGTGGGCAAGAATGCCTAGGAGGTTAGGTAGGCCTCTGGGCGCTTCTCTCTGTTTCCACTCAAGGAGCACTTCCCGTTAGCTTTATTCACATCTTCTTCATGGCAACATCTTTTTAAAAATGTACCTGAATAAAAAATTTTGGGGTCGGAATTTCGAGATCTTCTCAGATCTCCTGCGGAACTTTGATCTGGCATAAATCCCCTTCGCAACAAGTTATACAATAACAAAATAGTAGGAATTAAACTAGCCGGAATCCGATGGTATGCTTCTTTTTTTGTAACTTGTTGCGAAGGGTGATCTGTGCCAGATGAAAGGTCCACACACCCGTGACAAACCCCTGCTAAAAGACCCTAAAGGAAAAGTAGAAGTCTGCACTGGACAGTATCCAGCGTGCATGAAGGGAAAACTCAACAGTCAGCAATGGTACTAACTGTGAGCCTCACCAGTCGCCTAGAGATGAACTTTTGAAAACTAGTAGGGTTCTGGCCCTCTAAACTTACACTAGGCACAACTAGTCCAGAAGAGAGCCAGAAACAGAGGTAATGAGGATCTGGGGGGCTGCCCGCCATGCTCCTCATCAATTAGATGGGGGGGAATGTCACGTAACAGTGATATATATGTTGTGATTAGATACCAGGGATGCAATGTCCTGGCTAGTTCTTTTCGCAACGTAACAATGGAAGTCCTACGACTTCAGTCATTGTATCCTGGACAGGAGGCTGGATGGTGGCGTACCTGATTGCCTTTTTGGATGCTTCACAAGCTTCAAGCAGGGTCTTGAGTCTGTCTACAGTGAGCACGCCAACACCCTTGCCAGACAGGTGGTCACTCCAGGCGGCGGCGGTGGTTTGCACCGGCATGGTGGTTTCATCAGATATGTGAGGTCGATGACTTCCTTTCCTAAGACTGAAATGTATAAGATTATCGGCAGGCATTGCCATGTTGGCGTGATATCTGTCTGAGGGCTGGTAGGTTAGTTTCCTCTGACCTGACATACCATGCCAATTGACATGAAATTAGATTTTTGGGGCTTTATTTTTCTGTTGCATTCGCCCCAGGACTTAGTGATGTCCCCCACAAGGACCGCTGCATAGAAGAGATGGGCGCAAAGAACCAATTGCAACAGAGCAGCCAGGAAGAGTGGCAAGGAAAGTGGGACTCATGATAAAAATATCAATGCAACTGCTCACCCCTGATTTTGACATGCGTAATAGAGAAGGGAAAAGCTAGGTGTTGCTGTGAAATCAACATCGTCCGAAGCTCGGAAGGGCAAGCAAACATAATTGGGTGAGGCGGTGTTGGGCATAAGGAAGCTCACAACACAGGCACAGACATCTGTACATTATAGTACAGCAAAGCCAAAACAAATAAACCATTTACATAAAATCAATGCTTCAAGCTGTTATAGGCAAATACAGCAATTTTCCATCTCTACCTGCAGTCATGTAGCCACTATGGGAGCATTAAAAAATCTAGTTTTCTTCACTGTCACAGAGCAGCAGGACAAGGCATTTCTTAACATGCATGTGCTAAATCAAACGGCCAAAATAATTCAACAATTCTAGGTGCAGGCTATAAGTGGGAGCCAGTGTTTGAGGCATTGCTAATGTCTCTTTGGTGAGCCCCAGTGAAGTTGCTGGTTAGAGAACTTTTTCTTTTCAGAGCGCAGGGCCCTGGCCCATGCAGACTTCTCTGTTTCATTTCTTGTCATGCTGGCAACAGGGTGCACCTTGTCAGCTTCATCACCCATGTCCACATCAGAGCATGCCACATTTTGTGCCTGAAACGCACCACAAACACCGCCACAGCTTGCAAGGAGCGACCACACCGTGCACTACCACCATGGACTGCCACTGTGGATTGGATGTGCACCCTCGTAGCCGTGTGTGGGGAATCCTAGCCGAGTACAGATGTGCAGCTCTGTAGCCACATGTGCCTGGATTTAGCTACACTCAGTGCACAACTCCAGAGTTTGTCGTCTACCAAAACTTGAAGGGCATGACGATGCGCTGGACAATAGAGAAGAGCCGCTGGGCGACGCCCCACAGACCCTGCATGCGCACATGGTATTTGTTGTAAAGCAATGAGCATTGCTAAGGAGATACAGGCCATTAGGCAACACTCCATGAATCCTGCACACTGTCATGACCTTGGATAGCCAGAGGGTAAATGCCAAGCCACGAGGTCAGGCAAGAATCAAGACATAAGCACCAAAATAAGGGTATGTCAGATGTACAGGTCTGGAATATTCATGCATGATCGACGCAGTGTAGGAAGTGCATGAGCGTGCAGCAGCACACAAATGCTGAAATCATGTTGGCCAGTGCATGAGCAAGAAGGCTGCAACACAGCAGGACACAGCTGCTTGAATCTCATTGATTCATGGCAGCACCGTTTGTTCGCTTGGGTAGGCAGTGCCAATGCTCCTGAAAGGACCGCAAAAAGCATTCTGCAAGCGCTCCCCGATTTCAGGTCAACAAGCACTGTCGTGCACAGCTCCAAACAAAATGATCTTAGCAGTTCATTGCACTAGAAAGGAGTGACTTGGGCACCTGTCACATCTGAGACACTCCTGGCACCTCTTTCCTCATTTATGATCCCCCTCCTGGCACCTCTTTCCTCATTTATGATCCCCCTCCTGGCACCTCTTTCCCCATTTATGATCCTAACATCACCCTTGACCAACAGGTGAGCATGTTGAAATAGCACACAGGGATGATTGTCACACAAAAAAGATGTCAGGGGATTCAAGGTGGATTCTTCCCCCTCTGTAAGGTGCCTGCTTTGTGACAGAACAAGCAGAGGAATGATGTTGCCCTCAGATGTCAAAACCCAACAATGAATGGGATGCACACCCATGGGCATCACATGGGCTTGAGCTCCAGTGTATGGGCCCTTTGTTTAAGCATGTATGGCTCATTCCTTCTTGGAATCGATGCCTGCCGTTATGAGAACCTCCTGGATCAGGGATACAAGCGTCTCTACAAACATTACTCAAACCATCCCTGTGAAGTTCCTCCTCACGGTACTGGCTCCTCTAGTCAATACCCAAGCAACCCTGATGCTGTATGTGTATGCTATTTCCTGACAAGGCTTCCTTGATCCTACATGGGTCCCTCCTCAAGACATGGACATCCATTTCGC